GGGTGGAGAAAGATCATGTGGGGTGGTGGGTAGGGTGGAGAAAGATCCTATGGTGTTGGTGGATCAAGTGGAAGAAGATCTAATGGGGTTGGCGGGTAGGGTGGAGAAAGATCATGTGGGGTTGGTGGGTAGGGTGGAGGAAGATCCTATTCTATGGGGTTGGTGGGTAGGGTGGAGGAAGATCTAATGGGGTCGGTGGATCATGTGGAGGAAGATCCTATGGGGTTGGTGGGTAGGGTGGAGGAAGATCTAATGGGGTTATTTTAGAATCACACATTATTTTTATTTTTGTTTTCGTAACTTGTATTTTAAAAAAATGTGATGCTCTTTTCTAAACGACGAAACAAAAAGCCCGAAAATATCAACGTGACTCGCATTTCCAATAATAAACTAATAAACTCACCCAACCCCCAACTAACCAGGGAATAGACGTCTACTACATTATTCCCCCCCCCCCTCCCCACAAGAGCTCAGTACAACCCACTGGTGCCTGGCACTAAGACACACCACAATGACCCACCCCCCTCCCCCACCTGCCGTCTGTCTGACAGCTGTCTGACAGTTTGACACCAACAGGAGCTCTAGCATCGTTGTCCGTTGTGTTGGTCCAGACCGCCTCACACATAAGCTTGTTTATATCATTACGTTTTTTAACGAGGAGAACTGCTGAGGTACCTTGCACATATTATACAATACAATAGCTTGTTTATAGACATGATTAAGTTCTTACTTGTGTAGGGATTTTAAGGGGGATCCAGACAATAGGCAGATACGGATAAAAGGCCGACAGGAAAAAAGCCGACAGGAAAAAGGCCGACAGGAAAAAGGCCGACATAAAAAAGACCGAATGAAAATAAGGCCAACACGTTGTTAAAAACAACAAACTCAAATTACATAAATGTTTAGTATTTATTAAAAACAAGTTACATTATGATGAAGTTAAAGTATAAAATCGAGAAAAAAAATGGCGCCTAGTAAGATCAATTGTACTCTATGCCACGTAAAAATTCACGGTACACAAACGTATGTCAGTCTGACCCACCCAAACCCATATAGTTCTAAATGAATTTTCATTATACTTTGACTCCCTCATATTACATAAACCTTCTAGGAATCACGTTAGAATTGTAACAATATGTTCACGATTACCAAAGAGGCTGTTAAAAGTTGTTAAGTAGGAGTACATTATTTGTTACGCAAACAATAAAAAACCCAGTCAAGTCTGCCCAGAATTTAGCTGTCCACATCAACCGTCAAGTCTGTCCAGAATTTAGCTGTTTACGTCAACAGTCCAGTCAAGCCTGTCCAGAATTTATCTGCCCACATCAACAGTCAAGTCTGCCCCAAGTGCTAATCATGTTCATTGACCTTTGCTATTTTTAACCCAGCACCAGCAGTTAAAAATCCCACCCCATTCCCCTCCTACCTGTTCAATGTATCCCCTCCCCCTCCCCCACCGAGCACCGCCTAGGGCTCAGCTGTTCCACCCCGACCCCAGGGACTTGGGTAACTCCCCACAATTTGCTTGTCTGCCCTTTCTCTGGGTCCGGTACTTACAGCCCATCTGCGTCAGAGCGCACGTCGGAATATGGGGAGACTCAATCAATTCACTGCTAGTGATGACCAGTGTCCAGTTGCTTCAAGTACTCTCTGGTCAGTACATGGGTTGTCTGGTGCTGACCAGATGCTTGGATGATGTCAGACACAGTTACAGTCACAGTCACATGTCACATGTCACATGTCACAAGTCATAAGTCATAAGTCACAGTCTAAAGTCACAAGTCACAAGTCACAAGTCACAAGTCACAGCCACAAGTCACAGCCACAAGTCACAGTGACAAGTCAGAGTCACATGTCACAGTCCCTTGACACCACATTTTCTTAAGTCACAACCACTTGATTTGACCACATTTTCTTAAATCATAGCATCTTGACTTATCACATTTTTAAAATTCACATCCACTGATAAGATCACATCTTTTGTCCCATCCACCCCATTTGATCACATTTTTGTCACATCCTCTATAATTGATCACATTTCATTACAAAATACCAAACAACTCACATGCATGGTTATTTAGGATACAAAGAGGAAGCATATTTTATTTCAGGGCATGTAGATAATCACCATAGCAACCATGTAACTCATCTTGAAAATAACGTCGTGTCATTGTTTTATTTTTCAATACTAGACCAAAGCTCCTCAAATTTTGATTCACGTAGTCAATTGCCATATGACGTCACATAGCGCATATGAGTCATAATCATGTGTCGTATGACGTCATTTAACGATTATCACATGGTGAAATGACGTCGCGCGAAAACAGACTAAACAGCCAGTTTCAGAGTTCGACACGCATTACTCCAGTAGTCGACTACTAATAACATTAAAATTACATAGATTTGTTTTTTTTAACCCAACCTTTCGAATCCGTTGGGATTGAAAAATCCTAGAGTCAGCGTCATTGATTAGTTACTTGAACTATCTGCACTAAAGGCCAGGACAGGACATGAAAAGATGTTTGAAACGTCACTAATGCAGCGATACGGTGTATTCGTTTTTGCTTACGTCAAAAAAAAAATGTAGGGAGTAATCATTGCTAATAACGTAGCAAAAGCTATGGTTGGGAGTATTCATTGTTATTAACGTCTATGATACTGTAGTAGGGAGTATTCATTTCTGTTGATGTTATTAAAGCTGTTGTATAAAGTATTCTTTGTTAACGTCAGAAATACTGTATTAGGGAGTATTCATTATTCAGCCTCCAACATTCCACCTCCTTTCCTTTCCTCGATATTGTGTAATACATATATATCCTAGGATCGTCTCGCCCTCCATCATTCGTTACCCGACTCTAATTAAATAGATGGTCTAGAGAAGCCCCAGAAGAAACCTGCTGGTCAGCGTAATTTGATGGGGGTTGGCTGGCCAGTTGGACGTGCTTAGAAATCAGGGCCCGGAGATGTGCGTCCACACGCGTCTGGTTCAAGATCTTTGGGTGGTGGATGTTGTGGTGAAGTTCTTGGAGCGTGTAGGGCTTGTAAAGATCTTTTGAGGGCGTAGGGCTTAGGATCTTTGGGTGGTGGGTGCTGGGGTGAAGATCTGTAAGGGTGTAGGGCTTGTTAAGATCTTTTGAGGGCGTAGGGCTTAGGATCTTTGGGTGGTGGGTGCTGTTGTGAAGATCTGTGAGGGTGTAGGGCTTGTTAAGATCTTTTGAGGGCGTAGGGCTTAGGATCTTTGGGTGGTGGATGCCCTGGTGAAGTTCTTTTAGGGTGTAGGGCTTGTTAAGATCTTTTGAGGGCGTAGGGTTTAGTATATTTTTTTTACAGAGGATGCAGTGTGTTAAGATCTTTGAGGGTGTAGTGGGTTAGGATCTTTTTACAGAGGATGTAGTGGTTAGGTTTTCTTGAGGGTGTGGGGCTTAAGATCTTTTTACAGGCGGTGTAGAGCTTAAGATCTTTCTAAAGAGAATGTTAAGATCATTGAGGGTGTATGGCTTAAGATATTTTTACAGGCGGTGTAGAGTTTAAGATCTTTCTAAAGAGAATGTTAAGATCATTGAGGGTGTATGGCTTAAGATATTTTTACAGGCGGTGTAGAGCTTAAGATCTTTCTAAAGAGAATGTTAAGATCATTGAGGGTGTATGGCTTAAGATATTTTTACAGGCGGTGTAGAGCTTAAGAACTTTCTAAAGAGGATGTTAAGATATGTGAGGGTGCAGAGAAATAACGTTTTACAGATGATGTAGTGGGTGAAGATCTTTGAGAATATAAGCTGAAGGAGATGTAGTGATTTAACATCTTTTTATAGAGGTCATAGGGCATCTTTGATACAGTAGAGGTTAAGACCCGTAGAACCGAAGACTTAGAATCTTACAGAATTCCTTGGGTAAAAGATCTTACCTTTGTTCACAAATATGATTGTTATACTTGGATCTGCTAATAAAACCCGAACTGATTCTGTATATCTCAGAATCTTTGAACTGATGCCGCATATTTTAAAAACTTTGAACTGATGTTTCATATCTAAAGATCTTTTGAACTGATTCTATGGGGACAGGACAAATGATCTCAGACTCAATATCCCAGACAAAATATCTTACGGACAAATGACATCAGGACGAATTATCTAAAGGACAAATGATCTCTAGGACAAATGATCTCAGGACAAAGATCTCAAGGACAAATGATCTCCATATCTTTGAACTGATCCTCTATATTAAACGATCTTTTAACTGGAAGCTCTACATCTAAGATCTTTGAAATGACGCTGTGTATTGTTAGATCTTCGGAACAACAAGTCTTAGATCTGTAGACCTTGACTTCATATAAGAAAATATCTACCAGCATACAAACTTAACGTGTTTTCATATTTAGCCAGTACACACCATCTTCCTCTCCCCCCCCCCCCCCTAGGCCTATTCTTCTTTACTAGGAAGAATTCCATGATGTATATGATGGAGGGGGGGGGATGTCATGAACCATTGTTAAGATGTGAAGAATGCCTGTCGGAACAAAGGTTAACCGACATCTTGGTCTCCCGAACACAAAACAACTGGTATGATGTAACATACAGCTGCTCGATTTACCTATATATTTATTACATGTATAATTTGGCATGGCTGTGGTATCATTAAGGGATGGGAACAACCCCTCTCCTCCCGCGCGCCTTACAAAAAAAAAACTAACAACCCAGAAAACCCTAGCAGCGCCACCATTTATTTGTATCAGTTTCCATGGTGGCGTGGAACAATACAACATGGAGCCCTGATCTGTGTCTGCCTTATCTCATCTACAAAACTTGAGTGTTTTAATGATAGATACATCACGTCGGGTGAGCAGGGCTATTTTTAGCCACACTGCACGCTGGTGGTAGAGAGTAGACGCGCGAACCCTGCGCCGCCGCCTGTGCGCGCGCAAGTCTCGCGCGAGGGGACTGAAACCCCGGCACGAGATGTGTGTGTATGTGTGTGCGTGTGCGCGCGCGTGTGCGCCTTCCACGAGCTCAGTGTAGTGAAAAACGTGCCTGTTGATAACTAGAGAATGTGAAGTCACTCCACCAGTAGATCTAGGTTTGCCCGGAGTTACTACGACCATGCCCTGCTCACGATGAAAACCACGTTGCATCTCCTCCACTTCTGTAGGCTAAATCCAGGCCACGTTACGAAATTAAATTCTTCAACGGATTAACCAGATTTATTTTTTCAATTTTTTTTCACGACGTGGCCAAATTTTTTTCTTACACCCCCATCGTATTATTCTCAATTTGCCAGTTTGTGTTTTAAAAAGAAAATTGGTTCCCACCCTTTGTGTGTGTTGCGTGCTTCTTCTGAGTTTGGAATATTCGGGAATGTTGAGACTCGCGGAGGATTACGGCTGTGGATTAGAGTTTACACATTCCGTCAGTTTCTCCACGTAAGTACTCTCGTTCTCTTGTTTTCTGATGGTACTCATCTGGTATTGATCGAGACCGTCACTGTTATCTTTGGTGTGTGGGGGGGGGGGGGGGGCTGGTCACACACCGGAGGCCCTTGCCTGGTGATGTAACATGGTTGGGTGAAGGGGGAGGGGGTGTGAAGGGCTGGTGAAGAGAACTCAAAAGATTATCATTGTCGTGGTTATTGGTCATTGATTAGCGGGGAGATAGAGGCTGGGTGTTGATGGACAAGGCGATGAAGTGTGTGTGAGTGTGTGTGTGTGTATGTGAGTGTGTGAGTGAGTGTGTGTGTGAGTGTGTGTGAGTGAGTGAGTGAGTGCGTGTGTGTGTGTACTGGTTTGTTTTGGTTAGCCCGGTACAGAGATTAGAGATGTGTTTAAATAATGGTCGTCACAACAACCTGTCTGCTCAGTATGGGACATTTGCTATAGGGGACATTTGTTGTGGGACATTTGTTGTGGGGACATTTGTTGTGGGGACATTTGTTGTGGGGACATTTGTTGTGGGGGACATTTGTTGTGGGGGCATTTGTTGGGGGACATTTGTTGTGGGGACATTTGTTGTGGGGACATTTGTTGTGGGGACATTTGTTGTGGGGACATTTGTTGTGGGGACATGTGTTGTGGGGGACATTTGCTGTAGGGGACATTTGTTGTGGGACATTTGCTGTAGGGGACATTTGTTGTGGGGACATGTGTTGTGGGGACATTTGTTGTGGGGACATGTGTTGTGGGGACATTTGTTGTGGGGACATGTGTTGTGGGGACATTTGTTGTGGGGACATTTGTTGTGGGGACATTTGCCGTACGTGACTTCGTTGTTGGTAACAACATTAGGATACTCTTGTTGTAGGTGACATTGGCTGTAGGGGACATTTGTAAATCAAGCACTTAGAGCAGTGGTTCCCAACCTTTTTCGAGTGGCGACCCCCTTTTATAAAAAGTAAGTGACCCGCGACCCCCATAGAATTAAAAAGCCGAAATTAGTATGGAAAGTAATAAGCACTATAATAAGATTTGCTAGTAGACTTTCAATATGAACTACTCTTGATAACTGTTTTAATAGCATGAGTAAAATTGCATACTATTCACTAAACCTTCGTGGTTAAGTTTTTAATTTAAAAAATTTTTTTTAACGCCAACCTATGTCATTATAAGTATCTTAATTTTGTTTTTAATCAAAGAATAGTGTTGAAAATATATTCTCGAAAAGTCAATAAATTTTACGTTTGGGTATGAATGGTGAATACTACACCAAAATTGTGTCTGCAGTTTTTCATCTTACTCGGAATCATTCTGCAAATCCAAGAATTCATCTTGTAATTCATCGGGAATGCTGGCAACATCAATGGAAGAAGAGCATGGATAATGCGTAAATGCAGATTCCTCTTTTTTCAGCTCAGAGAAATAGCGATGCAGTTCGTTTTCAAGAGATTCAAAATGCCCATAAATCGCTTCTTTCAAAATTTTAATTATCTCCCAATCAGATTCATCTACCACACCGCAGAGTTTCTCAAATTAACAATATTTCCAAGATTTATTTTCTTTACCGATTTTGCAGCTTTGATAAAAATGCCCCGAGATTATCATGGAAAGTTGTAATATTCGTTCATTTTCCCTGAATCTTCAGGTTAAGCTTACCTTGATGTTCGAACACATCTGCTAGGTATGATACTCTCTTAAACCACTCTATGTCGTTTTAAGTATACCAAAAAGTCTTGTTTCCTTTGCACTTTCAAGAACAATTTGATTTCAGATTTCAATTCAAAAACACAATTTACAACATTTCGTTTGACAGCCAGCGTACTGTAGTGTAAAAGAGCAGAACTTCGTGATCTATATTAATGTTTTTGCTCAGTTCTTTGAAGGCTCCAGATTTCATATAATTTACGACTTATACTAGCAATGGACTCTTGATGTCGATTGGTTAGGGTAATGGTTAGGGAGCTAAATCTTTTCTGTTTTCTGAAAGCCCGATTTTGAGCTAAACATAGATGGCGCACCATCCGTACAAACCCCCACAGCCGTTCTAACCCATTTTAATCATCCCGTTTAAAAAAAAAATAGTATTTATTTTTTCCATGCTATCTTCACAAAATAGCAACTCTTCTTTGCTATTATCCGCATGAATATAGACACAGACTAGCAACTGCCAACACGAACTCACGTCTGTTGATTTATCAACTTGAAAAGCAAACAATGGTGAAAGCTTAATTTCAATAAAAATGTGTTATTTAACATTAACGTACATGCAGCGTTTGATCAGATTTTCTCCTATTTTTTTTTTTTTTTTTTTGCTTGGCATTTTCTATCGCGATTTCATTAGATGCTTGCACTAATGCTGGTGAAAACTTCCTGTTCGATCAAGTCTCTGGCGTTTGCAACTAGCTTCTTACCGACGAAAGAACTCCATATATTTTTGTGTGTGTTCCGAATGACTTGTCTCAAATGACGTTTTAGTTTTGAAGATTGTATACATGCGTGACTGAGAACAACTTTGTACAATGCGCTTTGTTTCTTCTCTATTACATTTCCAGTGATGTTAATAAAGCCGAATTTCAAAAAAATTTCTAAATATTTATGTTTTGTTTCAAACTACTAAGGTTTAGTATACCAGTTGGCGACCCCCCAAAAAGACCTTCGCGACCCCCAGGGGGGTCGCGACCCCCAGGTTGGGAACCCATGACTTAGAGGTTTTATGGCCAGTCGATAAATTTAAATTGTGGAAAAATAAAAATGGGACTATTACTGGAATGGGACAAATTTAAATTGTGGAAAAATAAAAATAGGACTATTACTGGAATGGGACAAATTTAAATTGTGGAAAAATAAAAACAGGACTATTACTGGAATGGAACAATTAAAGAAGGGTGACAGCCATTGTGTGGAACGTATCCAGAATGTGAGAAATCCGCAGAAAGGATTTATAATCTCTAGGAGTAAAATCGTACTCGTCTCGTGTTTGCATCGTTACACATGACAACACGCGACGCTGACACAGCCCATATAACCACGTGGTGCCACTTCACACGTCACTTTCTACAAATCCTGACCTTCCACTTTTACACATCCTCTAGCCTTAACCTAACCCAATGTTCCAATTTCCACTTGGTTTGCTGACAGTATCCAATTGTAACTCTTCTATCATGAGTTAAAAAACCTTAATCTTAAACTCTCTATTTTATTATCTCGCCTTGTAGGCTTGCGATCTTTGTAACAATCTTCTAATCGAAACAACCGAAATAATTTATGTACTAGCTTTAACAACAATCCTTGTCACGAAAAGGCCCGTAACTCACGCTGTTGCACCTCTGGAAAGCAGACGTCAATCTCGACAGAACGCACGCTCAAACCGAGCAACAGTTATCCAAAAACAAAAACCCGGCAGCCATTTTGTTTTTATTTCTTTTTGTATACAAACAAGCAAGTACGCACATAACGATTTCATAAACATACCGCACGTTGTATTGATTCCATGCACGCTTTCTCCCAGTAATTCCTTCTATTTTATTACGCCCATCGGCGGTTTAGTTCCGCTTTCGATCTAATCAGTACATGATACGTTTCCGGTTAGTTAGCCAGATAAAACGTTCGATACGGTCGAGCTGCCAGACTGGAATTTTCACGTGCGATTGATGCCTGTTTGGTTTCTCCCCCCAACACTTGAGCCGTTGGCATTTTACTCACGCGTGGAAAAAAAAATCTGGCATGCGTCATCGCGTCGCTTGATCGTCAAACAAAAAAAAATATGTTCGATCTATTGATGGGTATTGATTGGAAAGCCAGCAGAGAAAGACAAATAATCTATTGTAGACGGTGATCTTGCTAACGATGGGGAGGTCTATACAGGAGGGGGGGGGGGAAGGGCGGGGGGGGGGGGGAGATTGATGCTGTAAATTATAGAGCTAGTCTTGACAGACAAGCTTTATTGAAAAGGTGGTGAGGGTGAGGGGAGGCGGTAAGTGAACGAGAAGTGGATGGGATGAGAACTCTTTTTTCCTCGCCCCCCCCCCCCCCCCATACACCCCCCCCCCCCTCATGGATCGTTTTGAAAAGATGTCTACGAAAAGAAAAACAAAAAACGTTTGTACACCGGTGGGGAGAAAAAAAGAGGGTGCCCGGGGGTCATGAGTGAGTTGGTAAACACAACGTGATAGTGGTTGTCGTGGAGATGTTACGGTGATGTGGTCGGTCCCACTCTTGAATGAACGTGTCGGTGTGTTGGGGGGGGGGGCGTTAGCTTGCTGGAAGTCTTATAATTCTGGACTTCAGCACATAAAAATTAAGGGCCGGTGTGTGCTGGTCGATATAGTTCATGGTTGCTAAAAAGTCCCGAGTTCGAATCCCCGGGCAGATGAGGCTCGATAGCTGTGGACAGCAACTCTTCTAGGAGAGAAAACTACAAAATCAAACAGCTGCTGCTAACACGGCATCACTGGGCGTATGACCTTAAGTAAAGGTCACCGGCCAGGGCTCATGAGTTCCTAGAAGATCTTCAACGGTCAAGGCGAGCCACCTAGAAGAAGGCATACGGCTGTGGTCAGGTATGGACAGTGGGGTGGGCGCCGCCATGCGACACATAGACACACCACTCTGCGGTACCCCAACGACCCTATCAAGTTTTTTATGGACGATTTAGATAGATTTATAAACAAAAATAAGTTCTGGTGATTAATTTAGTTTGTAAGTAACCCCTATGTTTACCTTAACAACATATTAACGAAGCATTAGTATGATAGAATTCTCACAATTATCGACAGAAAAAAAATGTAACGAGGCTTTGTTTATATGGTTCCTTTTTGCCTCGGGAGATAATTGATGCGCCCAGATAATGTGTATCAGATGAAGAGATTATGGGTTGCGCATCGCGATCGCTCTCTCGACCTGTTGTCGGTGAGGTCCTAGGGCAAAGGTTATCAGCGACAACAGCGCTATTCACGAGAAGGTGTGAGGGTGTTGTCATTATTTGAGTTGCACCA